TCCTGGCTGCCTACTCACTTCACTCCTTAGTGACCGGCTACTACCAAAAAAGAAGGATTTTGCTAATGATGTAGAGTCTTTACACTGAAGAGTGACACCCGAAAATCTCTCAGCAAGAGGAGCTCTGCTCTTGCCAGTTCAACGACCACCCAATCTGAAGATCTGTTATAACAAGTTTAGATATTGTTTCCTAGTTTAGGAGGATATGGAAGAAAGAAAAGTAACTGTATATTGTAATTCACATTGAATTTGTATGCAGCAATACTGGCAAGTGCTAGCAAAGTTCCCTGAAAAGATTCTTTTTGAGTGTTGTTATTGGAGTTTTCATCAGAATGTCAGGCAATATTTCATCAGATGGTTTAAAGAAAATGAAGATATGAAATTTGGGCTTTGGGGAGCCTGAAGAATAAAATCCCCCAAATTACTCCAGTCACCTTCCTAAAAAGGTGAGAGAAAAGAAAGTGTCAGGTACATTTTAAACAAAAAAAGTAATGAAGTTACGCTCAGTGTAAAAACCCAAAGACCACTGCAGGGAAGAAAGGTAGTAATGTATTTAATGACTACCCAGAGTAAACAGGACACCACCTTACTGATCCCCTTATTTTGATTTTTATGGCAACAGAGAAACTACTTTTAGTTGGAGGACACACATGAAAACTTTCATTAAAATCATCTCCAAGCTTGTGCCTGTTCTTCTCATTAATGCCTCATCATTTCAGTGCCTGCAAGTAAATACCTATGTTCATAACCCGTCTGATAAGTAAGTTAAGGACCATGTGCACAGAAAACATGAATCACATCAGAAACCTCTGAATAGCTTGGAAAACATGATTATACCAATATATGAAAATTTGAAAATGCCAGAATGCTTTCAAGAAACTATTATTCGTATTATTGTTCTAAAATGAGGCAACACAATAGATTCATGTACCAAGCACATAAAGAGGTACATCCAGAGCTGCGGTGCTCTCACTGTGAGGTAGATATTCCATCCCATTAAAACCAGTTCCACAGGCACAGACAGCCTCGCTTTTGACTTAATGTGTGGTATTTTGTTAAAAGAGTTCTGAATAAATGCTAATAATCCCTTTCACTAACTTCAGTAGCAGTTAGATAGATCTCCAGTGCAAACACTGTGATTTCTCTGGCAGGTTAAACAGCTAAGAAGACTAACATTTTTTTAAAAGATTGTGAATCCACGGGCTTTGAAATTCGTCTCGGCGCCAGGGGATTTTCAAACTTGCTACCTTTCATCCTACTTCTTTGGTTTAGGGGAGAAGTTACACCCTGGGGGAACACCACCACCCACAACATATTTATTGCATAGAGTAATATAAACACTTGTGGCTGTAGGTAGTATGTGTACAGCTGGGATTTCCAGCCCTGCCGCCTACTGGGACTGGTTGCTGTACGTACACTGCTCTTGCAGATGCTTTACTGATGTCTTCTAAACTGCCCAACGATATCAATAGCTATGTGAAGGGCTGCCATTTTCTCTTAAACAATTACTAGGTCTATTATTATTATTGGACCAGTAAACCCAGATAGAGAGAATCCCTGATGTAGGCCACAAGGCTGAAGACATTTCTCAACCAGTTCAATAGCACCAAGTCTCTAAAACAATCATTTCACTAGAAAACCAACATTTTCCTTGTCAGTTTTTTTGTTTGCACTTCTTCTGTTTACCACTAGCTTTATCAATTGCTAGTGTGCAAATCCACCAAATTTAAAAGATAGTATCAGATGAGCTTTTCCAGTCCATTTGCTGGACACCAAAAAAACCCCATGTATGTACATTAAAATACCTACAGCAATTTTAGAAGTCCAGGTTTCCTTACTGCAACTGCCTTTCAGGTGATGGTAACTGTGAAACAAGAAAAGACTTTGCTTGCTTGTAAAGCCCTGTGAGTTACTAAGTCTTCAGCAGAGAAGTATTGGTTTTAAATCAATACAGATGTGGAAGAAAATAGAAAGTTGAGGTTGGGTGGTTGCTTTTCTGAGGAAGAGGAAAGGAAAGGAGAAAGAGTTTAGAAATCACAGTTTCCAAGATGATTCCCCAGTGGAAAGAAATTAAGAGTGTGCCTCATCCTTCTACATAAAAAACCACCATGGTCCCTCTGAAGTCGATCACACTATTTCTGCTGACTTCCCAAAATATATCACCAGTGAAGTTTTCCAGCACAGGATGTAGGGCATGCTTATAAACTGCAGTATTGGCAATACAATATACTTCAGCATGGAGGAATCATAACTGCCACATGATTGAAAACACCACCAAATTTACACACAACCAAACCAAGAATTTATATTCCTCTTGTTACTCAAAGTGGGCAAAAGACAACTGAACAACCACAGTTACTAAACAACCGAGCTACATACATGCAAACTTCTCCCTCAGGAATAATGTTTTTTCAAAATTGTTAGCTTACTAAATACATTAAGAATTCTTGGTTACTAATTACATCAAGATTTTTTCTTTTCCTTTGCAAAAGCCCATCTTTGAGACATGAAATCAAAAGATTAGGAAACCCAGTTATCTATTGACTTTTCTCTGAAGTGACTTTGCCAACAAACCTTCAGCAGTTGTAAGGAGAGATTTTATAGAGATCAAAGGGATCAAGACTGGAGAAAAGGCTCATTATAAATTTATTGTTTGCTAACTAGTGGATGTTTGCACATGATCCATCTCACTCTTTGTCTCACTGGTTTGCCCTCATTCAATGTTTTGAGACATTCACAGACAGAAGATTAACAGGAATAAATCTTCTGCAGCCCTAGTGATGGATTTCAGTTCTAGCAGAACACAGCTAACTTCTTCCAGGGACTGAGCTGGAAAACAACAGCAGTTTTTCAAGGACCGAACATCTAATTAGCAGATATTAAGAGAGCATCATTAATACTCTTCAGCTGACTCTAGATAAACTATTAGCATCAGTATCTAATGGGGGGAGAGGTAAATTAAGTTAATATATATCAGGATTTTTCCTCAGTGCATCACTGTTACAAGCACTAGACATCTCTAGAAATCTGTGTATTCTTCTAGGTCTCAAAACCTACTGCAATAAAAGGATGCTTAACATTCTTCCTCCTCCATTCACCTCCCTAGGCTCTGGACCATGAAGTAAAGTGACCTGGAAATAAATTATGAACATCTGAGCACTCAAAGGGCTTATGAACATCTGCACCACAAATCCCTACACAAACCTGCATACTTATTGAACTCTGCTCATATAGCTTCAGACTGGTGTGCTACAGGAACTTGACAGCGAAGTCAGTACCAGTCAGTCTGCCCTTCGTCAAGTTCAAACCGGTACAGTAAGAATTTTAAATATTATAAGCATCAAATTCATGAAACTAAAAGTGTTCCACTAACCAAAGAAACATAATTATGCTGTATTGGATCAAAGGAAATAAACTTTGGTTGATACTCAAGAGGTCATAATGTGCAGCCTAAAATAATGACAGAGCAATAGCTACTCTGACTGGAAAGGCAGGTAGGGATGGGCTCTCAAATACCAGTCAACAAATTCAAATTATCAGATGTCTTCTGTTAACGGCCTAATAAAGTAAAAGATACAGCAACCTCAGTCCACAGACCTATGAGGCTAAACTACTAGACAAGTTTAGTACACGAGAAGCCCTGGGTAGTGAAGCCTTTGCCTGAACACTAAGCATGTCTAATTAAAGCACCTTTTGCCAGTTGCTGCCAGCAAAACTGGGGACATGGGCAAGATGTCAACAACTCAAGATTACTTCCATAAGGTATCACTGCAGTGATTCCTGGTTCATGTGCTGTAAGTGAGAGCAGAGTAAGGCTTGATGTCTATGCACCACTGTACAGGCAATAAGGTGACCATTTTCACTGAGGAACAGTTCTAGCTGCTCATCAATCTGCCCTGACCTTTTGTCTTAGGCATGGCTTGGCTAAAATCCCAAGGTACATACACACCATGAACACTAAATTTTGGGGGGGTTGTTCCAGTTTTTGTTTTAAAAACAAATCTTGGTGGTGAATCTTCCTCAGCACTAAGTTACTGCTTTAGCCAAGATTCAGGCATTCCTACCACCATAATTTGAAAACGTGATCGGAATAACACATCAGACGTTCAGAAGCCATACCCAGATTTGCAGGGGGAGGCAACTGATGACTCAGCTCATTTCTTGCTGTAACGAAACAAAATTAGCCTATGCACAAGTTTGGATGCAAACATTTTGTCTGCTCTAGCCATGGGCAAAGATCTTGCCTGTAGTATGTTGGCCCTCCCAAGCTAAGCAGCGATGGCCTTGGACTTACACTGAGATAACCAGAGTGTGTTACAAGAAGTGCTGTTAGTGACCAAGTGTCCCCCTTTTCTTCGAATTTACAGCGGTATAATGCTCCAGTGGCTGCCAGTGGTACTCATGGCAGTGCTTTTCCACCTAGGATGGAAAACTCCAGTCTTTACTTCTTGTTCTCATTTAGACTCCTACGGCGCTTTTTAAGAAGTCTAGCGGATCCTGGCCTTCTAGTCATGGCTAAATTTCAACTGAAGCACATGGTTTTGCCTGCCTCAGTCCTTTCTCCAATTTTAATTGGATAAAGCACTCTTCATGTCCTGTCTTAAGGTGCAGAATAGTATTGTTAAGTACCTATTCTTAAATCTCTACTGCTAATAAATTAAATTATTCACAGAACGTACTGTATATTCTGTGGTATGCTATGTAACAGCTAGATACTATTAATAGCTAAGTATATCATAAAACAGTGAAAATTAATTACATTTTTCCAGAGGAGAAAAGAAATAGCTGTGTGCTTATAAAACAGATTGGTCCGATCCTCAGCTTTGAGGAGCCTACCTCCCGCGCTGCTCTGGATCGCTGTAGAAACCTGGCAATAATTACGACTACCGTGCCAGCTATCCCCAAGACAATTACTCTCAGGCCTAGAAAACACTGACAGTTAGAGCCCAAAGCAAGAAATAATGATAAATATGCTCCTGTAAAAATACTGTTTCCGGTACCTGATTCTCTATGGCCTTCCTGTTTTTTGGATCGCTAACAATTGAGAGCTGCAACTCCGCCATCTTTTTCATCTTGCTATCCATGTCAATCTTCTGGAAAAGACTCTTGGTTTGATTTTTCAGCAGCCTAACAGTGTCCTCTTTCCCAAGCTTCTTCGCAAAGAGGGAAGCACAGGCTGAATGTATGGCAGTAACCCAGTTTTCCAGATCTGTCTGGCTTGTCGCCTGTGAAACAAATCAATGGTGCAACATTATGAGCAGAGAAGAGGAAAAAGAGTTTTAAAAATCAGCAGCTCTAGGACATGAAGTGCTCAACGGGTTCACTGAGATCTTAGGCACTTTATCTTAAAACCAGTGAAATAAGATTTTATCTTCAAAACTGTGCAAATAAAGGAACTGTGAGCTTTTCCTGCACTCTGTCATGACTTGCCTCCAACCTTCAGCTTCTGCTTCTTAGATCTGCAAGGTCTGAGGGCTCCATGAGCACAACAGAGCCCCACGAGCTCTGGGAAAGATGTGACTTGCACCCTTCATCCCTCCAATTAATTAAGGTAAAAACCAACAGGTTTCAAAGATAAACCTCCTCTTCAACAGGTAACACAGCACAGAGATGATTTTACATGTAAGGCCTGAGGAGATGTGTTTGCTTTGCTTGTTAAAATATGCCAAGTTAGTGGAGGGAGGACAGCAAGGTAAAGAGAATACATCTGCGCAAAGTGTCTCTGGAGATATTTACAAGTGTACCTATGAATCAACATGTTTTTATGGAGGCAGTTCCACATAATACTGTTCTTTATTAACATTTCCAGTGGTGCAGTTAAGCAGCCAAGATCTTTAGATTATTTTTAGCCTTCTTTTTTGAACGTCTTGCTCAAGCAAACTGTGTTTCAGGCCACCAGATTCAGGGCTGAGCCCATCATTCTGTAAGGGTGAAATGCTGATAGATGTGAAAAAAAAAAAGATAATAAAGCTGATTTTCTAGAAGCTTGTAACCACTAGGTACCAAAAGCGTCTTGCAGATTTGTGATCTGTTCTTTTTATTTCTGAACCATAATTAACTGAGCCAACTGATGTAATATCATATACCTGAAGTCACACCATACACTTAAATCAGTATTATAATAGTATAGTATAATAGTGTAACTATACTATTATGTTTAAGTCAAAGGCACAAGCATGATGTGTGTGTGTGCAGATACAATCATATACATGCATGTGCATACTCACAAACACATCCTAAAACGGAAACAACCACAAAGTTATGCATGCATATTGTTACCTGAAATAGGTAGACATCACCAAAAGAATTGCTGAGACAGAACACGTTTTCTTTCTTGGGATGTTCTGGAACAGACTGTACTATGCTGTCTTCTGCAAAGAGGGCATATCGAGGCAAACTGCTCTGCTCCATCGAATTCCTTCCATAGGTCTCATAAAACAGCAGAGTACAACCTTTGGAGTTCAGAAGGACAAAAAACATAAGGAGAAAGTAAGTTCTGGATTTCACATTTGAGTTCTCTCATATTAATGCTTTTGTAATCAAGATACCCGTCAATGACAGGGAACATCAGTTCTGCCCCTCTTTCGAAATAGAGAAAAAAGGAAGAACTTCTAAACTGGAAAACAGGCAAAGTTAATGATGAATTTGCCAATGAAAAGTTGGAACAGACATCTAATAGGGACACAACAAACACCCATAGACTGAAGAAAAAAATAAAAAAAAACAGGGTACCTCAATATGGAAGTGTTCAAGGTCAGGTTGGATGGGGTTTGAGCAACCTGATCTAGTGAAAGATGTCCCTGCCCACAGCAGGGGGAGCGGACTAGATGATCTTTAAAAGGTCCCTTCTGACACAAACCATTCTGCGATTCTATGAATAAACTCAGCCTATTAAAATGTTAAAGCATGTAGAAAAGATTAATTCCTGCTTAGTTAAATTGTCTTTTGTGTTTCTTTATTAAATTGAATCAACTCTCTTGTAACAGCCACCTAAGAAATCTTTGTATTTTTTGAAAAGATTTGCAGAAACTTTTGTCTTCAAACAACATGCTTAGTGAATAAACTTCTCAAATTTAAACTGGATTTCCTTGAATCTACCTGCAAATTGTGGACTTAGACAAAGAACACAATCTGAATAATTTAAAACGGTTTGAAGGGTTTTGAGTTTGAGCATGTTCAGTCTCATAGATAGTATAACATGTAAGGTACAAGACTTCCATCCAGAAAACAAACTCGGTCCTTAATGATGACAATCCTGAGTATAACAAGAGGAATTACTTCTGGAGGACAGCAGAAGAGACTTAATCCCAGTCTCCAGCAGTACGACTACATTGCCAGGTTGCCTTTGGCAGTGAAGCTGGCTTAAGAAGGGGATGGCCCCTCCATCCCCGCCATTCCTGCCCCATGTTACAATCCACTGTCCTCTGAGATGCACCCATTTGCCTGTCCAAGGGGTCACAGACTGAACTGCATTACTAAAATAATCTAGTTAAAAACTATCCTGTCTTTCTCAAGAATTTCTTAGGCTAATTGTGCATCAAGAGAAAATAAGTAAATAAACCTCACTTTCAACCCTGGGAAATGGCAGTTTAATAGTAGTGAGTTTGGTGTGGTTTTTTTTTTTAATTTGGAAGATAAATTAATACTATACTATGGCCAGATGTTTAACCTGGAAGAACTAAGACCAGATACTATAAATACATTTTGAAAACTGAGAATAACCTAAGCAGAAAAATCTGAGGCTGGCGGTGGATTCTGCAGCAAGGCGAGCCTTCTCCAAAAGATATGCTCAAATTCATTCAGGAATTAATTTAGAGAAGAGCTATGGCTGCATTACATAGCGAGTCAGACTAAATGATCACAGTGATCCCTTAGGGCCTAGTAATCCATGAATATATTACTGCTGTAACTCCTATACATATTCAGTAGAGGGCTTGAAACTCGGCCAGTATAAGGATTAAGTTTGCTAGAGCTACAGCACTGTTATCTCTCTAGTCCGTTTTTTGTTGTTGTTCTTCCTTCAAATCAAAGAGGTACCACAACACAGGGCAGCACCAAACCTGAGATTTTGGGTTGAGTTGCTGATTTTCAGCCTGTTCGTGTTTCTCTGTGTGACACGCTGTGTGTACGTACGCATGTGCAAATACGCCTAGGAAGTACATATCAAGGGGATGTTGCAAAACCTGCAAAATAGCAATGTTTCCTTTGTGCATTCTTTTAAAATAGTTAGGTAAAAACAGAGTGCAATGTTATTTTAGTACTTCTCTAACATTTACACTTAACGCTGTATTAAAAATCCCAGACACATCATCCAAAGTCATGTAAATTCGAGGGGAGCTTCCTCAAAGGTCAAATCTGAAATCAGAACCAAAATCAAGGGTTTTTGGATTTTTCTGTCTGGTAAAGGGGAAGGATGGGCCTATTAGTGTTTATGGGGCACATTTGCTGTGAAAAGTGTGGAATACACTGGTCCTCATACAGCCCAAATTTAAAGTGTATGAAAAGTGAGATCCATCGGATGGATTTCATCACATTCTCCAGTGCCATTCAATGTACAACACTTACAAGAAAAAAAGAAATATATATCAGAGGTTACTGACCAAATAATCTGATGACTGAAAAGTTTTCAAAGGAAGGAATCCAATAAATAGAAATGCCTCTATACTACTTAAGTGCACCTTTTCCTATTACTATCCAGAGTCTCTGGCAGAATATTTAGGGTAAGAGCAAATCCTACAGAGTTGGTCCTATCCTTTCCCCTTAGCAGCCCTCACTTGATCTTTATGACACAGAAACACTTGGAGATCTCTGCAGTTGGAAAAGAAGGATATGCTTTGTTACACTCTGCATATCAGGCATGGCACTTCTGTCATCATTTCAACGTAACAGGGCAAACTAAACCAACAAAACCAAGTCCCCTCTTGTATTCAGCAGCAGGACTGTACAACCGCTTCCACTTCTGCATTTTAGGAAAGTGCAAATTAAGTTCTATTTTAAACTCCCATATTTCCCCTATGTGTTATCAAAAAGTTAACTAAAGATATGTCGTTTTTTATCCTAACAGTTTATATGTACATAAATAAAAAATTTTGAAGGGCATGCATGTGTGTCTAGGTGTATGGCACCCCAGGTATATCTTCGGGTCAAGCCAAGTGATCCCTGGAAGCAGCTAGTTCCATAAACTCTGACAGACCCACTGGGACTGATTATTGTCCAAGTATTTTAATCAAAACTTGAACTGAAGGGGGAGGGCAATGGGAAAGCAATTTCCCTCGTTAAAATAAACTAATTAGACAGGACAGATGGAAAAGAGAGTTCCTCTTGTTAAAGGGTTACTATTCAAGCTCAGGTCTTGGTGGCCCTGAAAGTAGAGCAGAGGCCTCAGGACATGTATACTTTGAAGTCTGGCAGGTAACCAGATGGTTATAAGCCTTCTGCATATTTATAATTAAACACATCTCAACAGAATGCAAAGAAACATGCTGTTCTCTATTTGCATATGTGGCTATTTTAAGTCATATTTTAAAATGTCTTGGCTATTTAAACTTCAAGAACAAATTAAATACAGATTTATTCAAAACCCTGTATAAGGAGAACTAAAGCAAGCGCCTTGATCTTGATATAGCATATTATAAAAACAGAACTACGCCTTGATATCCAGACAGGCAAGTTTATTTTGGCATCACAAGTCTCCACAGCACAATAAAGGTACGAGATCAAGGAAATGAGGAATGTATATTTAAAACAGCTAACAAAGCGGAAGAGATTCTGCACCATGAATGCAGCCGTATCACCCATCAGAAGTAAAAAGCGTTGTATCTAATACTTCTTATAATGTCAAAAGTTAATAAAGCTTTTTACAAAGAATTTTATTATTCCTTTTTTATAGCTGGGGAAATTCAGGTAGCAAGAAGGGATATGACTTGTTCAAGGTCACCAGTAAGCCAATTATACAGCAAAGAACGGAACACAAAGCACCTAAATTCCTTCCCAGAGCTTCATTATCCCAGAAATGCACTAACTACTAGTATATAATGTACTGCAGTTTAGAGTTTTGATAGGATTGATTGAATTTTAGAAGTGGCAGATCACACTGATATTCATAACACAAACACATACAATAAGACGGTGGCATTCAGATATTGTTCTTCCCTTTGTATACACTGCTTGTAAGCATGAATCATGCTATCTGATGATCAGGATAAGTGATTTAAACTGTTAAGACTGCCTACATTTTGATCCCTTGATAACAGGTCTCTGAATTATTAGGCAGAATTGCTACATTCTTGCGAGTTTGCTTCTTTTAAATCAGCACTATCAAGGACAACATTCCCAGCACTTGCTGTTTGCTGTTCATTTTTCTTCAGGTCTACACCCATGCAGAATTTTGAAAAGGGCAACCTGTGGGAAAGTTGTTATTTTCTCTCCTCCAGTCCCAGATATGCTAGGAAATTATTAAGTTTGATCATTTCCTTACTCATTAACTTAGCATTATATTTACTGAAAGGCAAATCCTTTGGATGCAATTCAATTTAAAAAAAAAAAAAAAAGCCTATGAACTCACCCGTTAAATTCCTCTTCCTCCCCACAATAGATGTTATTTTCTTTCTCACACTTCCTGACACCCATACCCTTTTTGCAGCACACCTACCTGCTCGATTACTCTGAGCCATCAACATGCACCATGAGTGCAGTGCTGAGCACAGCAATCACGTCGCACCCCACTAGCAGCAGCCCCTTTTAAGTGGATTGCCTTCCCACGGGACTGTTTCACAGCAGGAGCAGCTGGGGGAGATGGGAAGGCGGGCATGCCGAAAGCCAGAAGGGGCTGGTATTGCAGGGAGCGGGCAAGGTGAAAGACCATCCAGGGGAAGGAGGGAGACTGGCGAGCCCTGGGAGTGGTCCATGGCAGCTAAGCCTCGGGCATTGCAGGGCTTCCCCTGCTGCTGCTTTGGCCTCCTCTGCCCTGAATCGCACACTTTTTTGTGTAAATGCTCTAGCACGGGGAGTTCACCTCTTTGTTATGTTGCCACCTGAAGCACTGGAAACAAACTGAACATTTTTACATTAACTTACCCCAACTTTAAGTAAACCTCATAGCAGAGCCCAAGGCACTGGGGACTTCTCCTGATCCTTAAATTCTGAATTCCCCCAATATAGAGGTGTAACTTCTGTATTTTTCTCAGTTTTGGTTCAATTTGGTCTTTGACCTCCAAACATCCAAAAGCATCTTCTAAACCCCCAATTCTGCGTGAGTACAGAAACTGGGAAGTCAGACAAAACAACTCCCGCTACACTACGAAACGCAAGGCTGCGTATGCAATACCAAACACATAAGCACCACCTCGATTTAGTGGGCTGCTTGGGCACATGCTCCACTTTAAGCATGTGGGTAGACTATGTAAAGTTAGGCATGAATTTCTGATGCCCTGAACCTGCTAACAGAAACCAGCATGCATGGAAAGTTGCTGAGACACAATGGAAACAACTGCTGCCGCTAAGCCGAAGGAGCAACGTGGTGGTTTACCTTTGAGTGTGACCCAGTACTGCTTCCACTTTCGCCGTGTGACCAGCTCCAGCTTCTTCTCTTTCTGCAGGGTCACCAGGGGTTTGAAGAACAGCCACCCTGCCTTGCGCACCACTCCTTGCTCTTTCTCATACAACAAATCCAGCTGCTCCAAGGAGCTGAGGGACTCGCCACTGGAGTCCTCCGTTTCCGAAGAGGTCTCTGTGTTCTCCAGGTTCGTCCTGCTCATCTCCAGCTCCCGCATGAAGTTTTCGTATATGTTCTGCCTCAGGGCATCGCTGCTGACAGCATTGGTGGACTCGCTTCTCTGGGACAGGACGTGGCTGGAGCCAGGTGACCACAGCAAAGCGGAGAGCTGCGATGGTGCCAGCGTGTCTGTGGTGAAGTTGTCCATTCTGCTGTCAAAGTATTCGCTCCCATCTTTACACTTTGGCTCCTGCGCAAAAAAGGAAATTGCCAGCGGTCAGTCACCAGAGCTATGATGAAAAGACGCACCTCATTTGGCATTTAAATTTGTTTCATGTTTAGCCATGGCCAGTTCCTTCATCAAGGGCCACCTCTTTTCACCATTACATCACAGGCTTTGCCTCGGCAGCCACTGACACCACCAGTGCCACCACGCACGGTTTTCTCGACAGAACCCCATTAAACCCTAACCACTAAGTCTGTGCGCTTTGGTAACTCAGACACCTGTGAGTAATCTCCAAATTCACTAGTAACTACTGGGGCTTCTACTGGCTGAAACCTGATGGACTCCAGGAGAAAAGCACATCCTCCGGCTGAAACCTAGGCACCACCGCTTACACGCCTGTTTGAGCACAAGCGGGAACAGTGTCACAACAAGTTTCTTTATTATTACAGGGGTTTCAATACTTTCGTGACACTCCATTTGTGTGAGGCAGCTACGTTTAGTATCAGCACAGCTAGGCTGATTTTACCTCCGCTTTCTATTTGTCATATAGACTGTGCTTAACCAACACAAAAAAGGTCAAAAGTTGAGAATATTTTAAGCTTGTTAGTATTGACCAATTGACAAAAATCTAACCTAGCAGATAATGTGATTTAAAAAAAGGAAGACGTGCTTGCTGACTGGCACAAAACCAGTCTCCAGACTGCAGAGGTGTGTATTTTCTGACTTGCTGGAAACCCCCTGGGAGCTTGACTATCTCATCAAGCGCTGATGGGCCTTTCTCCTAATTGCATTGTGCAACTTCATCCTTCATACTGAGATGAGGCTGGCCAATTTTATTTGAAATACTCAGGCCTGATGGTATGACTTCAACTTTGCCTTGCGATAGGGATGCTAACGTAGGCCCATTTCTTGCCACTGCTTGTCGACGTGGGAGCTTGTTGGCAGATTGGGCCTTTTCTTTCTTAAGCCTTTCCCAGTGCTGACTGCTCCCAACTCTCCCAGGCAGCGGTGATGGACAGGCATTTTCATACTACCCAAGGCAGAGCTCCTTGGACTAACTTCACTGGCGAGAACCACACCATCCATCGTAAGAAGCCATTTATTGTCTTCCCAACTCAAGCATTGCTGACGCTATTTAAAAGCAACCAAGATTTAAGAACATACAACACACAAAACCTGCTGCCTTTTGCAGGACAGCGTGAGGGAAGAGAAAAGAAGAGATGGCTATAAACAATTCAAGAAATGAAGCTATTACCCTCAGTAATAATAAAGCTATTATACTTTCAAGTTTAGACTGCCTCTCTAAAAGCATTTATTTGCTCACAGACTTCTGTACGTGAATAAAGTAAATAAACCTTGGTCTTCTCTGAGCTTCTCTCACCAGCAGCTTTGAAAGCAACTACTTTTTTGTTCCTTTGCTCCCTATTTGATGGTCTTCAAAACTGCAGTGGAAAAGCTGTGCTGTATTTTGATAGCATCAGGACCTCCAGCACACAGCCAAGAGCAACAGTGGGATCGCACGCCCCCCCCAAGCGTCGCCAGACAAGCCACTTCCCAAGCAGCAGGACACTGCCGGTTGTGGCCTCGCAAAAGCCAACTTGAACTGAAACCCACGTTCTCTTACGGTACATTGAAGTTCAGGTCTGGCTTTTCAGGTTACTGTGTCTGGTGACAAGGATCCAATTCTCCTGCTAATAGAGCACCTTCCTCAAATCTTATTGCAGCATTCTCTGAGAGTAACTCCCTAAACATCAACGGTTTTGCTTTTAAAGGGAGGGAAATCGGGGAGAGGGGGGCAGGTTAATAATCATGTGTGTAATGTGTTCATGCCCACAAGAGACTGTACAACAAGGATCGTACAACTGCGCCAGCCATCTGCAGTTCGGTGGGAAACTGGAAGCTTTCTCCACCCTCTTTTTAATTACTGTCACTGTACGTGTGTGCCAAAATCCTGTATTTTTATTGTTTGACTATTCTCCAGAAACTGCCAGTGTCCTCTAGAAAACATTAACATACAGTTTATTAAGAACATGTATTTCTTTCAGTCCCAAAGCACTAGTACGAAAAACAACACAAGACACATACATATGAAGGTGTCTGCTGTGAAGGGCCACTACTGGAACAACAAGCATTAATGAAGAGGGTGGGATACAACCTGTCCATGAACAGCCACTAACCACATCCTATGTTTTCTCCATGCACACAGAAAGGGCAGGATTGAGGAAGTACCAGAGTAGAGTAAATGGACATAGGATCCAAAATGAATACATACACTTTACCATGACAACATCGCTTGTATTTTTTTTTTTTTTTAAAGAACAGAATTGGCGGAGTCACGCAGTCTCTGCTGGTGCTCAGGGCAGCTACCACTGTAGCAGTATCTGGTCACCACTGAAAAGGTCTGACCCAAATTGCTGCTGGTGGTCGTTTCCCTGCCAGGTGACTTTCTGCTCGTTTTCTCTCTATTGCATCTAGTGATGATAAAAAACTACCACTGTCTCTGCTCACCTGCATTCAAGCAGATCTCTCAATGTCTGAGATATACCCTGCAATAGTTATAGGTAATGCAAAAGATAAAGTGGCTAACTAAGATACCAATTAGACAAAGTGATAACTAATAGCATGTAATAACTAGCTGCAAAGAACAGCGCAGGAAACAATGCAGCCTGCTAAATTCATTAGGACCCAAGCTGAAAGTAAAATCTAATACCAGTTTTCAAGCCAAATAAAAAGGTTGTCTCATTGCAGTTTTCTTTTAAATTCTCTTTACACCACACTTCAGGGCTCTGGCTTATAAAGTCAGGAAATTTCAGAAATTATTCCCATAAAGAGGCTGTTTACTTCATTGAAGAACCTATCTGCAGCAGCTGTTTCTGGTGGCTGGATTTTCATTTTACACAGTGTTTTCTCATTTTCTCGATGTCATACAGTTGCACGCTGACTTTACACCACCACCTTCAGCAGCGGCTGGCTGTGCAACAAGTCTGCCTAAATTCTGTCCACAGGTCTCACATGCATCACATATACCTTGCTGCTCACACACACTGTATTATAATACAGCATCTCTCCAATGCCGATTCCGCAAGGATTAAACTAAATGAGGACATGCCATGCAGTAGAATACCATCGATGCATTAGGGCATCCTCGTGCAATGAAAGCTGGGTCATGGCACAGAATGATTGCAAGTCTTGATGTGAGATCATTATTAGAAAGGCAAAATCAATTCCAGGATATATCAGATCAAGTATCAGATCAAGTCAGACATAAGGAAACATCCAAGTCACTGGACAGGGCACAGCTGAGGGCTCCTCTGGAACATCCTATATCCAAATCTGTTTATGAATGATTTAAAACAGGTGCAGAGGAAGGGTGACAGAATGAAAAGGAAAGAGACTTCTATTTAAGACAGGAGACCAAAGAGAGTCTGCATAACCCCACAAATGTGGGCCGAGAAAAGATACCGTTTCTGCCTTTAAATAAATCGTAACAGATTAAGTAATAGGGAAGGATAACTATTGTAGAGGACAATACTGGCATCAGAACAAACTGGCTGGGACTACATTTACTCTGCAAATCAGCAAGCATCAGAGTAAGAGGGTTTGGAAACAGCCTTCAAGCTGGGGAAAAGCCCACCTGATTTTAAGCTGCAATTTGTTCACAAAGAGGATTGAACTCCACTGCCTTTCTAGTGGCAAGGGACTGCCTCAATATCCCGAGACCGTGCCTCCTGGTCCTGCGCTCCCATGAAGCAGGAGGCTTGGCTGACTTGTTTCAACTGGGGCAGCCGGAGGGACCTATCCACCCAGCCAGCCCTGGTGCTTAGGCTTACTTAAAGGGAAATATTCCAGTTTTCACCTACGTTCAGCCCAAGTGACTCACAATTAGTTATTAGTAATGTACTGAGGAAGGGACACGTTGTTCAGAGCAAAGCACGGAAGCTGCAATCGCCGTGACGAACAGTCCTACAAACAGGGACTAACCACCTGACAGATCATAACTGCGCACAGCACTTCTGCATTTTTAAGCCAAAGGACCCGGTGAGAGTATAGTCATTACCAAACTACAACACGGCAACCCCCAGAAGAGATGGCGGGTTACTCAAAGCGTGCAAGGCAGAAAGGAGCTGACCAAGCCTCAGGACGAAGGCAAAATCATAAAGAATTCGCCACCTCTCTTATCCTTCCTGTTGCTGGATTCTTGTCTGATAAAAATCAATGACTAACTATTTCCTATGCCTTTTTCTAAGAAATCACCATTTTTGGAGCTAGGGCCCATTTCCTTCCACCAGAATCAAATTCAAGCTTGATGCAATCTCACCAGCCAAATTTCCTTGCTGTGTCTGAAGTCAGTTCACTGCACAGCGAATTCAAAACAGCTATGAATCGTGCACCACAAATACCATTCTGAAAATGTCATAACTAAGTAATACATGGCAAAGGTCTGGGATGCAGAGATCGTATGTAAAGCCTGGCTGTAAAATCCAGAACAGCTACGGATGTTGAAACTGGTGAAGAATCCTGGCACAGGACGCAGAGGCTCTTCATTGATTCCAGTTTTTCTGCCTTCTCTTTCACAGCTGAGTAAGAAGGTGAAAAGACAGCATCTGATAAAATACATGAGCACCAACTCACAAAAGAAGTGATCCAAATAAACGGCTTTCATTTTCGTTTTCCCAGTTCTGTAGCCCTTACCTAGGATTTATGCTGGCAAACCTTACGCTGACCTCATTTCTGAGCCTAAGGGTCTGTCAGAGTTTTACACTGCAATGACAGATGCCTGTTAAGCACAATACCTGTCCGAATTTCCAACACGGGAGACAGCATTTGCTCTACATGCCACAGAAAGCGTGTGTTTATGGGGTTCCCTTCACTCCCCGCTCACTTCTGAAGTGGCCAGCACCCCAATGCTGCTGAAAGGGAGCAGATCCTTCATTTAAAGAAGCGCAGTGACTGTATGAGAAACACTAGGGAAGATTAAAAAAAAAAAAAAAATATCTAAACCAAAACTGGTCTCTGCCCTCCATCTCAGCTTGCGAACTCACACGCAGAAGTCCAGGCACAGTCTGGCACTTAAAGAGCCGATTCTGGGGCCTATAGCTAGAGACAAGAATTTCATTCCTGACCACAGGCATCCTAAATTCCTATTAACGGGATTAGCCTTAAATTCTTCTAAAGAAACATCCTTTCCCTCCCTCTTGCCCTCCTCCCATCTCCTTCTTCACACCATCATCTCCCGGCGAGCCAGATGGCAAGTCAAGCTTTTCCATCTGGTGAACTAAGCTGACAGGCAGGAAGGAGGAGGGCGCTCCACGTAATGCCTTCACAGCAGGTGGAGGCAGGACCAGCAGCTCTGGTCGATACCCTACAGTTGCTCTCCTTGCTAGAGGTGGACTGACAGTGAAACCAAAGTGAGTGATGAAGCCAATAATACAAACAGGGAATACCTGCAAAGATATTTATAACATCCTCCTTCTACTGCTCCCTCCACACTCTTCAGATAATGTATGCTGATTCATAGCATATATATGATATCTACGTTGTATTTTCACAGTTGAAATAAAGAGAAGGCTTAAAAACTCCAAGTCACTTTGTAAGTAATGCAATGATTTCAAAAGCTAATTCACTGAGAGACTAGGCTGAAAAGATTGGAGTTAGCTAAGAAGGTGACAAAATAGGAAGGGAAAATTTGCACACACAAACATCTATCTTTTTTTGCTGTAGACATTTCAGACAGCTTCAGGGATGCAATACTTCTCAGAATTCCACAAATTACCAAATGAGATTAGCAATTAATTATCCTGTGAGAAAGACAAACATGATGCAATCACTACATTTGTAAGAGGAATCTACAAACCAACTTTCAGGCACTTAGGCTGGGGTTTGTACATACCTGCAGCTTCCTTTTCTTCCTCGAGAGACTTCCCGTCCAGTCACTGATGCGCCGCATTCGGTTTTTTAATGTATCCTTCTTGGATGCATCCTCACCTAGGGGCTTGGACTTTCTGCATGGGAGCGTATAGGAGGAGTAATGTGCAGGACTTCCCTGCTCTACCCTGGAGGGAACATCAATGTCTGAGGCAAATGAGACACGATTGCTTAGGCTACCGTGAGTGTCAATATACTCATCAGACAGCCTGATCCTAGGTGGAGGGGTGCTTTCCAAATTTGTATCCTTATAGAGATCTCGGAGTGAGGAAAGAGATGAACTTTGGTTGAAGGACTTCTTGTTGTCACTTGCTGGGAAACTGGCATGAATGCTTGTATCTGGAGTGCTCCTGGTCAAATACGGACCATCCAACTCATTGATATCCCCAGCATTTCCCCAGAGAGAGTCATACCATGAAGACTCAGAGCTGAGCGAGCTTCCTTTACTCGATCGAAGCCTTGAATCAGTAGGTGACAGACGATGGCTTGAAGAACAATCTGCGCTGGAGTTCCTCCTGACGTCGAGTAGGTTATTCGGCTTAGATTCCAAGGCAGGCGAATACCTCAGCAACTGGACCGGTCCACTGGACTCCTCAGTCAGTACCTTGCTGTTGCTGCTGTTGTGGAACTCGACCCTCAAGCAACCGTCCAGCTTCCCCAGTGTTTTAATGAGAACTTTCGGACTCCTCCTGTCCTCTGATGGGGAGGTTGATGCAAGACTCTCGTTCTTTCCATAGCAATTTAAAATGTGTCCATTGCATTCTCGAGAGGCAGCATGATTACTTCCACCTTGAAGGCCAATATAGTGGAAACCGTTCTCGGGCAAAAACACTGCATTATTTCCTTGGCAGTAGTCCCCTGAGGCGTTTGTTCTGTGTTTGGCATGGGCATTGCTTTTAGAGACCTTCACCACAGTGTCACCGAGTCTAGATGAATAAGGCTGACTACTCTTGAAGTGCGAAAGGCAGCTTCTGGCAAGGGACCTCGATTTGTAGTTTGAGCTGCTACTGGTATGTCCCCATCCATGCACAGAGCAAGACTTTTCATCTTTAGCATGAATGCTGCGAATTTTCAGAGAGCAAGGCTTCTGCTTGGCACCAGCTGTAGCAGCAGCATGATTTTTTGATCCCTGAAGACTGTATTGGCTTTCTGAATTCCCCATTTTCCACTAAATTAAGAAGAGTTTCATTAGAAACAATGGCTAGAAGACAGAGTGAAAAGTAACAGACCATTTTTACCCTCTACACAGGAAAGTGCCTTTTTAAAAAATTACATGAAACAATTGTTTCAAAAAAAAGCCATTAAATAGCCATTTACAACATTAAATTCATAACTGAACTTATTTTAGGAGCAGGCTAGGAAAACTTATTCTCTGCATGGTTCATTACCCCTCTGTTATAAAGCTGGAATCTAGCTCCATTGAAATCATGTCAACACCTTTCTCCACCCACACCCTTGGCAACATCCTTTTCTTATAACTTACAAAATCTCTGGCTCCCAAGAACAATGGCATAATGAAAGGGAGACAGCAAGATAATCATAAGTTAGATATAAAATGAACCACACTTTCAGAGAAATCCCTTCTGCCAGGAGACAAGCCCACTGCAGTTTCAGCTTGACTGGTTTCTGTGCAACCAAGTGTTGCCTCAATAAACTGTTCAGCAAACCCCAACTTTGTGTTTAAATGGAGTCAATCCAGAGAAGGAAAAAAAAAAAACCATACCAAAAAACAAACGAAAAATAACTTGGTTAGTGAATAGCCTCATCTTCCATTACAGCACAAAACTGCATTATGTTCATTCAGCATGGCGCAGTTCGATAGTTCACTTAGTAAAATGCTCTTCAGCTTTTTACTGAATTCACAGGGAACAACACACACTGGAGAAGTCAAATTGTCCCAGTGAGATGATTGAAGATTTTGAACCTACATAAAGTGTACCCCGAAGTAAAAAAGATTGATCTGTTCTTTTTGTTACTTGGAGTGAATCTCCACTGTTTGTAATGTACAGAAACAACATCAAACCGCTTTTTCCATCATCACTGTGCTTCTTTGCATGTCGGATCTCAGGCTATCACTCTTAGGAGAATACACTGCAGTCTCATTAAAATTTTGTCAAAATAAGCCATTGTGAAAACAGAATCTTATCTTCTAGAGTCTGTATATATTTTAACATCTCTACTTCTAGCCCTTAGCACTTTTAGATGAAAAGCATAGAATAAAACAAAGAGCATACCTGTAGGATCACTCTTAAACCCGCGCACAGTTAGCAGTTAGCATGCTCTGCATTGTCTTCGTGGCGAGCCGCTACACTTGCCAAAAACAGGATGGAGTTGCACGCAGCCTTCCTAGAAAACACCAAAAAGACAAAAAAGGGCCCCCAGTCAAATAGAACTTACACTCTAGTCCAGCTCTAAGCAAAACGAATACCAAAAAAAATCAGACAGAAGTAACAAATGGAGAAGAGAGGTCTGGTTAAGGGGATTCCTGGACTTTAGACATACATTTTTAAAAAACATACTTTAACAACTGACATTGAATTAATACTGTCACTGTTTGGGTAAGCAGTTTATTTTCTAATTCTGTCCTTCTCCCCTCTCATTGACAAGTTAGGGCAAACTTCGAGCCCCCTCCAGTTTGCTTTTTGGAAGACCAACTACAGATGACAGGATTGTGCAGCGATCCATTACAATTTGCACCAAACGGATCAGAGCAATGTCCCGCAGCATCTGTTTATCCTTCCCCATGCCTGGAATCCAACTATGACCCTTGCAATGAAAGGCCACTGTGCAATTCACTCCACCAACCACCCAGAGACCTCTCTCTTTAGGTTTGTTCTGATTTTAAGTTAATCTGCCCCTAAAACAAGAAAAAGGCAGCACCAAGCACTGCACACACCCCAAGGTAACAAGACCCAAGTTCTTCCTGACCATCTGAACGTATTGGCTCTTCACTTGGCACACAAAGGCTGCAACTCAAAACAAAAGGACAGAAGCTGAATTGCACAAAATACACCAGCAGTTTAGGGATTGAAACACTCAGTAGAAGAAGCTGTACAAGATGTTAAGCTCAGTTTCAGAACAAACGTTTTAACTATTTAACCATTCTTAAGACACTACCCCAAAAATATTCTTTTCTGCATAAATTCAGTGGCTACTGTTCATAATTTTCAATTTAATAACTACCTGATTTGAACACACAGTTTTGCTCTTTTTGACTCATTTTACTGTATAAGAACCTTGTAGATATCTAAAGGAATTCACTGGTAACCTAGGTATTTTGCTAACCTTACCAAAAACAGAGGTAAAGGTTGCAAACTGGAACTAAAAACGGTCTCAACAGCAAGCCTAGAAAAAGGTTAGCAAATAAATGACTTAGAAGAGATATATCCTTTTGGATCATGCTAGAGATGCTACAGACCTATAAACACAAATTCATGTCTGTTATCACAAAGATATTTGATAAAACAGACAAGCCACAGAAATTTCATCTTACCCTCCAAAAAAAAAAAAAAAAAAAGTCTGTTTAACTTGCTTATTCTCTCTAACTATTTGGAAGGTTGCTGTTTAGGACACCGTTGCCTTGCAGGTTTGATTTGCCAGTGCTGCTAAGTGCACCCATTTGTGTAAACAGTTTTTAAAACGTCATATGCAACATGGATTGAACAAAAGACTTTTGATTCAAGGTAAACAGAAGACAAGACACAAACTTCCTAAGCTCCAAGCTGCTGAACAAATTGCAAACCCCCAGCAAAACTGCCTTCCACGATCCAGGAGGCGCAGACCACAAACAAGCAATGAGTTTACATTCAGAATTCTTCATCTGGGAGCAGAAACTACATTCAACAAGGGGGCTTTGAAGGGCTTATATCTATTCATAAGGGAACACTGAACCCAATTTGTCTAAAGAAACAGTCAAAAAGACCATCTGGTCTCCATAGTGATTGTGCAATGGTTAGGTAATCCTTCTAACAGAGTGGGTAGCGAGCAAGCTGCTGTCATGAACCTCAGAAGATAGACATTCAATTCGTCAAGGCTCGAGCTGCTGCTACCGGGGCCCATTGTACGTGTCTGATCCAATACACAGGTCACATAATGGGTGAACGAATAAATTTATCTCAGGGTACAATGTCTACAAAACAGTGTCTCAGTCTGTGCAGGAATCAGTCAGCAGTACAACAAAACAGTCAATAAATCCCATAGAAATAGCCCCGAGGGATTTTTCTCAGCATCCCGGCCGTCCAGAAAGCTACGGTAGGCTAAACATTTGCGCACGCTGCGATAACCAATCGGGGCATCTGCGAGGCGGCACAAAGACCATCACCCTGAAAATCAGCTGCGATGCCTTTCTCTTGCCTCACATTTGTGTGGAGTGATTTTCTTTCTTCTAATTACAATGCCAGGGGGAGCGGAGTGAGTCGGCTTGCACCCAAAGGCAGCGTGACACTGGGGCAGGGGGACGGTCGTGGACAAGCTCTGGCTGTGCTCGGTCCGAACACTCACACATTTAACACTATTTGAACTATGGAAGCACTGGAAATTACAGTGCAGGGAACAGAGTTCTGATTCCCCTATATTTCTCACAGCTACCTACCACCACAGAAGACAACGTGCTTTTCTCTCTTCCTATGCAGAGGGATGAATACTTCTTGTAAGCAAAACCGGTTTCCATGAATGTTTTCTGCAATTATAATCACTATATTTAGAAAGCAACTCATTGCGCCTGAAGATGACTATTAAGAGTTTATTTGCTTTCAATTATACCCACATTCCCTAAAAAAAGAAGTTTTTAATCTTCACCCCGGTTCCCCTTGACACATTCAAAAAACACAACTATGCAAACATACTAATCCAGGAACCCCACCATCCCCACCACACCCAATAATTAACGCAAATCATAACCCCAGAGCTAAAAAAGTATTTCCCCACCTTGGGGCTTCTCCACACAAAGTTTCCCTAGACTTTTTTGGCTCCAAAAAACTAACACACAAGCTCAGAAGCCGTTCCGGAGAAGCGCCTGCCACCTATATTCCCTCATTAATACCACCGCAGCTACACTGCTTTATAAATGCTAGAGAGGAAAATGCCTTTCTTAAGATTAAGGTGAGCGCACGTACAAGTAGTGCTCTGCAATTGCATGGGTGCTTTCCTCCCCAGTCTTAATCTCTCAAAATAAAGGTTTACAAAGCTTGACTTGCTAACCATACTGCAAGCAAAATCAAAGCATAACAATAATATCCCAGTACTAGGTTTGGTGATGAGATACAACAAGGAATTATTATATTATGAATTAGTGGGAGATCTGAGTTACAAAAAGGCAAGAGATTGTGGTAGAATCAGATTTCCCTGACTGGGACTGACAATCTCGCCACCCAGGATGTTGTAAGAGCTCAACTAATGTCAGCCCCAGCAATGTTAAGCTTTAGCCTGGATCAAGAAGTTACCAAGAAGACATGCACCAAAGCTATCTCTCTGATGTATTTTGATGCCTTTATTCCTCTGGATGGCTGGTGACAACAAACCTTCACTGGCAGATGTAAAATAAGTGATCTACAAACCATTTAATCCCTGCTGAAGCTTTCCTGAAAATCTACTGATGAGGTGCAGGGAAGTTGATTTTCACTTCACTAAACAAGGCATCAGTGCAAAAATGGCAAAAACAACAACAACAACAAAGAACAGTATGGATTGGTCCAGATGAGGATAACATCATCCCATCAGATTAGCACCACTGAGTGAGGACTCATTGAGAAATACGGGATCTCATGACAGTCTTCAGCATTACCAGGAACAATAACTCTTTATGCACAGCAGAAGAGCTTAAATTTAAAACCTCCTGAAAGAGGAGGTTTAACAAGAAACAGGCTTTTAAAAGAAGAGCTAGACTAAGGGCTAGAAAACAGGTCAGAGCTAGAGCTAGCTGCCTCACCCCTAAAAAATAAGAGCCTACATATTTTCAGTTCTTTACAACGACACACCAGAACACAGTTTAAACTTTTTAAGAAGGCCTTTCCTTGAGGACAGGACAGAAAATTATTCAAGAAATAAATAAGCTAACAAAGTATTTTATTCCTACTTGTAGCTTAAGCAGCAACCACGTGTCACAACCTCTTCAGACTTTCTTCATCAACAGGAGGATTGTTACCTGCACCAGTGCGGTACCTTTCAAGAGGGCATAGGACCAATTCTCGAGTACCTGCCACCAGGCACAGTCCCTCACAGCCATCCACACAGGTATAAAAGTCTCCCAAAGAAAGGCAGAGCTTCAACTCACTTTGCAGTGATACAAATACTTATACAAAGGGCCTTTATATGCAAAGGGCAGAGTATATCCCATCAACTACTCTCTAGTAATGAAGCAAGAGGAGAGAGTCATGTATGCTTTCTGCTGTGTTTGAAAACCCTATTTCCACAAGGGCAGGTAAGGACTCCCAGCTGCAGCGTGGGACGGCCATGGCCACCTTCAGACTGCGCACGGTGGAGCGGGGAGGCATGGAGAGGAGAAAAGGCAGCGCCAGGGTCTTCACACAGGCGGCTGCTCTGAGTGCATGGTTCATAAGTGCATCACAGGAGGCTGTCATCAGGATTAGTGGAGCTGGGATAATGGAGAATCTGCAAGTATTTCAAAGCAATAAAAAGGAAACAGAAAGCCTCTCATTTACATGAAATGACCAACTTGTTTTCTTTTAATAGCAGATGTAGTTAGAAATGTTGCAGGCTTTGATATACAGCAACTACGTTAGTGGTTTTTTACATCAGGAAAAGCTTTTTTTGTTTTGGTGGGGTTTTTTTTGTTTGTTTTACTTGACCAAGCAATTCCTATTTTTTCTTTCAAACTACTTTTACAGTCTCTTTCACCTAATGGTTAAAACACCATCCATTTTAAATGGCTTATAAAGTCTTAGAAATTGTATATAACTATCTTTCAGATACTAACGTATCTGTAAGTTTTGCAAAGAATCAATGTGCTTTGAGAATTCTTACAGGGATACAGAATTTAGGTTTGAAGTTTTAATTAACTTTTAATCTACTTTGGTTTTTAATATGAAAGTAATACAGAATGCTAGAATGTGCACCTGCCCTCCCCTTCCTTCACGGCTGTGTATGGACGGGTACGTGAAATTAATGAGGGAGGCAGGTTAGCACAACACTGTAGCTGTGGAGTTTCTTACTGGAAACAATTTACTGTATTTTTTAGAACTACGCACTTTGGTCACATGCTTCCACAAATCAGAAGCAGATTTCTTATTCCTGCAATCTCAATCACATTCCTATTACAAAAATATACCATAATAATTATACCATGGTATTCCTGGCAGGATACTTTGCATTATATACCACTGTATTCAAA